GCGACATAGAATTGCATGACGGGAAGGCTAGCAGCGAGAGCACCCAGTTCGAAAGGTCACCGCTATCGTCATATGATAGCAATCCTGCTGGTTTTCCTTCCACAGTTCTATGACTTAATTCTTGAGAACCAGCAAAGTACCGATGCTCGCGTAAAAGAAAACGCGCAGCCTCGAATCTGGTGTCAGCTTTGCTCGCGCCGCTGCGTGGCCTGAAATGTGGGTCTTATTGCGGCGCCCTTGTACAATGCTGCTCCATGAGTGGCCGATTCGCGTGGTGTTTGTGGGGCAGCCACTGGCTTGTGTTAAGTTGAGACCACCCTACAAGTTCAGAGATGGGGAGGGAAAGGCCTCGCAGTTTCTCAGCAGGGTGCCAGGCTGCCATGAGCCATGACACAGCCATGCTTTTCGTTGAGGAGACCCGGTGGGCACATAGGGGCTGGGCGACGAGAGACATCCAACCTGGCAGAGCAAGAGCAGGGAGCAGCACAAACATGTCATTTAAATACAGGATATTATCCTGTGGCTTCCGACTAATGCTTGTTGCCATGAATTGTTTTTATCTTGGGAATGTTAGTATTAGTTCGTGGTATTTTATCAGGCCAGGGATTGACCTGGCCCCAGCGCTTATGTAGTTGGTTTCACTTGTAGGCCTTCTCAGGAAGGGGATAAAGGATGATAAAGGGACGTGGATAGAAGCCAGACCGGCACACACACAATTAATCACAATTCACATTCCTACGTCAACTAGTGTGACTAGTGTGGTGATTCTCTATGTTTTGTATGTCAAGCTGCAGTTTTGCTGTAGAGAGACTGTTTCTCATTTAATCTCATGTATACGTGAGTCATAGTGCTTGCTCATGCTTGCTGGGAAAAGGAATGCGAATAGCTCCAAACCCTGGATCATCGAACGGGTGTTCGATTGGAGCCTTTGGTGCTCACATGTTAGTGTTCGAACGGGTGCTCACCAGCCTATATGAATCATACATGCCACCTGCTATATTATAGATGTACCGGCTATTATATGTACATATTTAACCAATTGCTGGGAGGTTCTGGGCAGGGGGGGTGTCCAAAGACTCTGTCAGGATTGGTTTTCTTTTTTTGGGGGTGGGTACTCACCAAAGAGTCTTCTACAGTAGGATTGTTTTTTGTTTTGAAAGTCCCGTGCATTTTTTCAGAGTATATACAGCAGTTGAGATGTCCTTGGCAGTACTGGTGCTGTGAATTAATCTCAGTAGATCCTTGAAATTTAATGAAAGTTACTAAAGAACACACCTCCAGATCACTCAAAATAGGTGAACAAGTGCACTTCCAGGGCCTGCCTTTCTGTATATACATATATATATATATACCAAGGCTGTGTGCCTTCCTCAATATCAATATACACATATCATATATATATATATGTTATATTACTGTTGTACATTTATTATGCCAGCTGCTTCCTGTCGGGGTCACTTGGACAACCCTGCACTACTTGTAGGTACCCATTGCCCAAATATATTGCCCAAGCTCTTGGGCATAAATATATATATATACTATATAATTAGGGATATATATATATAGTATATAATAATGAAATACACGATATATATATATATATATATTTGTATATACACACACACTTATTTGGCCTTCGCCCATCCCAGTGCCCAATCACGTCTCTCCTGACGACCACCAAGGGCCGCGTACCCTCTCGCACTTCTGGGGGCGGAAAAATGGGGTCTTTGTTGGAGATGTTTCTGAATGTTGTCAACCTATAGATCAGAGTCAATGGTGTTCCTTTGTGTTTTAGGTCCCGCGCGCCCGGCAAAAGGGTGGCTTGCATGTGGTCATGTGAACATCGGAAGGGTGGATGGGGGTGAAAGACGTGAAAAGGAGCCGGGGAGAGCTGGGGGGCCTCCATCTATGTAGGAAAAGGGATGAACATTGGACTGGTATACTTGTTAGATAGATAGCGGGACCGGGTTTTATCCACAAGCAGAAGAGTAAGTTCCATAGATACCCATGACTTCCTGAATGAGTGCTTGTTTTTCCCCTGTCAGAGGGCTGGAGACCTGCACATGTTTCAACGTGAAACTTGTTGATGAAGTTGAGGATGTAGCTGAGAGACCTGTCCCTGGTTTAGATGGATGTGTTTACACCCTGGAAGAGGCCCACATTGAGGAACACACGGCCCCCTCGATGCAAAACGCCTTCGCTTTTTAGACCACGCATCGATGTGGCAGATTGTATGCCTTGAGTTTGCCTGGGCACTGGAGAGAGAAGTTGGGGATGTTTGGATGTATCGGATTCTACGGCATGCCGGTGGTTGTCATTTCACCGCATGTTGCTTGTCGTGTGTGCGTGTGCGTTTTGCGTGTTGTGTTGCAGAGAGGGAGGAGGTTCGGGGTTGGGGGGCTTTCGGTCAGAACGTTCGTTGTGGTTGCTTCATCGCACAGGCTGTGGATGTGCGGCGTGTGTGTGTGTATACAGTGTGTGTGTAGTCATGCTGGAACAATCTGGAACAGATGCTTTTAGCAAGAAGTCGTCAATCAATCAAGGTGGCAGGAGTTCAAGACTTCAAGACCATTACATAACAAGTGGCAATGAACAACTATATATCCATGTTCAGAATGAACCACGTAGAAATGTGGATGCAGTCGCAAGGTTGGCAGAAGACCTCAACAAATGAAGCGGAAAAGGTTCCGTTTTGCGCCAAACTCACTGGGGTCACCTCAACAGGATGCCACGCGGGAGAAAGTGAACCGAGAGTGCGCGGGTTCAGTGAACTTGTCTTCCCACCCGGGTAGGTGTTCGTCCAAAACCGATTCTTGCAAGTTTAGCAGGTGCTTTGACCTTCACTTTTACCTTTTGTTGGGTGATGATTCCTGGCCGCCGCTTGGCTCCATGAGATGAGGGTTCCCGTGCCATGTCGGGCACCTGCTAGGCACGGGCAGACAGACCGTCAGATCTTCCCAAAGAAATGGTGAACGCGGCTGGAATGGAAGGCTACTTTTCAAACATGGCCCGCCCACTTGGAGCTTCCAACTGTTGTCCTCGAAGCGCCCCCAGATGAGTTAGGCCGTGAGCCAAGTATCAAACCCCTCCATAGTGGAAGGCAGTGGACTCTTGAGTCTGGTCAAGTCGTTTGAAGCGCAGGAGGCCTGATTTCCAGCAAAGAACGTGGAATACATGATTACACATGGCACCATCTCAACCAACGGGAGAACGGAACATGACATTCCATGTCGGGTAGACCGGCTTGATAGCCGCGATAGCCTATAATTTGGGTCTGTCTGAACTTACCTGTAACAGTCAGTAAACAAGCAAATCACTATTTTTGAACAAGGCCTGCAACCTAACCATCATCATCCATTGTTACAGGTAATATATTAATAGGATAAAGACCCAACCTATAATGACCTGATCATGTTTGGGCACCATTTGGGGACTCCAACAGGCACCCCCTTTGGGACTCAGTTTCATGTGTGGTTCATACGATCGACGGACGACTGCCCGGACGCTCTTCCCTTCCATCATCCAACCACAACGGTTCCGTGGCACACCTGCCTTGGGACGACTGCCTCACTGACTGCCTCCACGAGGGGGGTCGTTTTCATCCGTGCTTCCGCTTCCGTGATTGGTTGGAGGGGCATATAGTATTGCATGTATATGTAATCTATATTTAGTTTGTGCGCGTGAAACTGTTTCGTCACCGGATGGATTCGGAGATATTCAATAGATTATAAGTAAATATATTTTAAACCATTAGTGCTGTTTCTGACTATCAGTGATGTAAACTATCGATTGTTCCACAGTGGATGTGACCCTGAGTTTTGTCAATTTCCTTGCCTTGCTATGGCCGGCGGCCCTGAATGACCACACCCAATAAGACCCTAAAAAATAAACAAACTGACTGTCACATGGCGCTGGCCTTAGCCAAATGGCTAAACTCTTGGAGAGGGAGATGGCGATGGAGAGAGAGAGAGAGAGAGATACAGAGAGAGTCATGTTTTTACAGTAGATTCATCATTAAAGGTAGGCTTTCACATTCTAAGTTCCATTTGTTTTGTGTGTGTGCTTCCCGTTTATTCTTTGCCGCTTTTCGGGCCAAGAACGTGGCAATTGCATTGCATAGCCAAGAAGTTTACTAGCTCAGCAGACTATTTTGAGTGTGCGTGATATGTTTCTTTCCCTGTGGATGAATCTGCTTCAGGACACATATTTTTTGTCTCAGTTCCTGAAGCAAACCCAAATATAAGTGACAAACAGCAGCCAGGGGGAGAAACGCTTGCCGACGCAAGGCTACATTGAGCATCATTGAGGTTTGTTTCCAGTTTCAACAGCTATGACTCAGTTCAGAATTTGCCGACCTGGATCATGTTGAATTCGCATTAAACACATCAATCCACCCCGACCATGGAGCGCCGAGACGAAACCGACGAAACTGCGCTTGAAGGAGATGTCGACACGAGAATGACATGCGCCATGATTGTTTGGGGTTTGTGTCCCTTTTTGGTCAGGATGTTCATCCACCTCCTTTTTATATATATATATATACACATATGCCAGCATGGAGCCTGTTGGGGAGATTTGACCCTGCCCCATCCCAGCGACACCAGGGGCCTCGGAGCGAGAAAATGGCTCCGCACTCAGAGTCGGGCTTTGGTTGCTCGAAGGTGAGGACCACGTGAAGGGATTTGGGCATCTTAGGAGATCTTAGGAGTGACAAAAATCAAATGCTGGGTTATGCTAGACTGCTAGAGTGTTTTTTTTATCTATTATTTTTTCGATGTGATGTGTGTTTTCCCTAAGTTGAGACCATGGGCACCTAGCCTCCAATTTGGCAAAGCTCGGATGTTGTTTTGGGTTGCATAGACATGGGGGAGGTCATACTACGTTCCTTTTGTGCGACAGGAGAACCAGTCTAACATGATTCGTTTCGCCACCGGTCACCAGGTTGGCACAGTTCTGACAGTCCAACGGTCCGGGTGCCAATCATCGATATCGATGATCGCAGCTGTCCAAGCAGGGAGGCTTCGATTACGTCCGCGGAGCGTGCCATGATGAACCATCTCCCCGGGAGCTGCCGATGGTGCTCCGAGAACCCCTTCAATGTGCCACTTGGTGGACCAAACGCATCAAAAACGCAGTCCATTTCATGAGACTTTTGGGAAGAGGATTGCAGGATCTTAAGGGATGGAAGACCAGATGGAGGCCATAGAACGGGCTTGATTCATAGGGGAGGGGCCCTTACTATTAGAGGGTGGTAGGGCCTGTGTGAGGGGCACCCTTTGTGAGTTTGAAAGCGTTTGAACACCTTAAGATTTTGATATGTTCTAAAAAAGGAGAAATGAACGAATTTTGCTACCGAGGTTTTGTGGAGATTTTAACAGGGAAGGATGAGAAGCAGAAGGATGATGAGAATGATGGATGAGTGGGTCAGAATGCTATCTCTCAAAGAGATAGCATGAAAAAGGGTGGGTCAGAAGATCAGTTTAACTATAGGAAGATATTGGATGCTGACTGAAAGAAGGCACATAATTAAAGCGTGTATTAGTGAACCATCGCTAATTTTCTGGGTGCAGATGTGCTTAATTAGACGGCCCAACCTTAGTAGCCTAGTAGGTGACCTTTTCCCATTACATCCCGTGAAAAGCTTATTGGTTTGTTTGCCTGACTCTTCGAAGCCGCCACTCCCAGCATTCGAAGACGTTTCGCCAATCCCTTGAGGTTGGGGAACTTGCTTGGAGCCTCGCCTGCACCACTTTTGAGGTATCCATGATCGTACCCATACGTACCCATGATCGCGTGCCTCACTGGATTTGTGGCACCATGGAGCTAGCAAATCAACCAAGGACTTGGTCCAAAGCGGGAGGAGAAGGGCCCGGTCGGCACGTCATCCGTGACTCGTTCTGTTTGTTGCAGCCCATGCCCAGACCATCCCTGCGAGTGGAATAGTTACATAGATTGGCCCCCCACACACGTGGCCCATCCATGTATGTCATGTAACTCTTCCATAAATGGATGGGCATGGAGGTGGAGAAAGTGATGGGCAGCTGGAGGTCTCAAACTGTTGAGGTAAGATCATGTGGCATGTTCCTTTCAGAGAGTGAGCGGTATACCGGTAAGGCTGGGTTGTAACATTCCGTCCTTTTTCTCAGACACATTGCAGTTCTGGACAAAGAACATGTACCATTGCTCGAAGGGGTGTGGAATTCTTTCTTACCGATGGCAGTTTTGAGCACATCACTCGGGCAGATTTAGATTCATGGATCATGCATGCAAAACATGGCCGAAAGCGTTCGCCCCCCGCCATTTTTGCGATGCTTTTTCGCCCGGCTCAGGTGAAGAAACCCGCCAGGCACAATGAGCGGGAATTTAAGAAAAGAACAAATGAGGAGGTGAAGGCAGGGGAGACGTGTGGTGCAACGATGGAGACGTGTGGTGCCACGATGTTCCGGCCTTCCTGGGATTTGTCTCCTGAAGTTTGGAAAAGTAATTGGAGAGTGAACAATGAATTTGTTACTGGGGCCCGGTAACCTCCACTAGAACTTTTGATGAACTGCTGTTGTGGCTGCACCCACATGGAGGAAAATATCGTCTAGGAAAATGCAAGGGAACTATATTGCTTGTTGGGAATCTACTTACTTACTTGCTTACTTATTGCTTACATACATACATACTTCCTTACTGCATGCTGACTGAGACCTACTGTAAACATTCGTTACTTCCTCGCCATTTCCGGGTTCAATCCTTCATGTCCGTCCTGGCGAGCCCCTTTTCACTGGCCCACCACTTGACGCGTCGTGTCCCGGGAGTGGCCCGCCGTTCGCATCGTAGGAAGCGGTGGCCTTGTGGAGCAGCTATGTGCACGTGCGAGCCAAGGATTTCTTCCAAGGCACTGGACAACTGGAGGAGGCGGGTTCGGGGTCGCGACCGATGAAACCAGGAAGCTTTGGGAAGCAGAGGATGCCAGATGACACCAGCTTAAAAAGGGGAAGCACGGATATCAATTGCTATGCTCAGCATTTTAGGATCCAACGACCTGGCAGCCAGCTTCTCTAAGAGAGGACAGAAGCTTGTATAGTACAGTATTGTATGAACAGTGGGCGAATAACATCGACTAAGAATAACTATTCTTTGTTGACTATGTATCTATTCAACTCATTACTCATGTTTTTTTTTCTAATGCTGGGTGGTGGTTTGAGTATGTTTGAGTTTATTTTCAACCTCTACTTGGGATGATTGAACTCACTTACTAATATTGTTCAAGTGAGTGGTTCAACCACGTAGTTTTTTTTTTGAGTTACTATGCAACAACCTAAAGCCGGTCCTATATTATATAGTTAGGGTGTAGCCCATTACCAGTAACAGTCAGTAAAATATGATCACTATGTTGAGAAAGGCCGGCAACCTAACCATCATCATCCACTGTGTTTAGGTATACTGTACTGGGTTTTCTGCCCAATACTATAGTACAGTTGTCTAGTGTTGTCTACAAACCAAGCTTGGTCTTCACCTTTTCACCACGGCCAAGCTTCTCTCTCCACGCGTCCGCGCAGACCGTCCAGCCGGCCTACAGGTTCTCTCGCAGCTGGCGGCGGGGACGTCCGCAGACACCGAGCCGGTGGCGTCCGAGAACAGCGAGTGCGTGTGGGGACGGCCCGAGCGGTGAGTGGACGGACTTGGGTTCGGGTGGTGGATCAGAAGCCACAGGCAGCCACAGGTTATCTACAGGAGACCCAGGAGACCCATGGCTGGGGAGGGGGTGAAAACCATGGGTGTCCTGTAGATGTTGCCTTCAACCAATCCATTGAGAGGTGGGTTTTGTATGGTGTTGCCTTGTCGCGACCAGCCTGCAGCATCCATGCCAGCATTGGTTTTCAGCATGACAACGAGGCAAACTGTTCAATGGTGGGCAGCAACAATCCCACGCGTCAACTTGGTGGCTTCTGCCAACTCTTGGCAGAGTGAAGCAAATACACAAATACGATCAAACACCATCGGTTGGGGCCAGTCAGGCTACCATTCAATTCGAAGACATTGCGGGGCTGTGCTGCCGCAGGTGTCTCCAATTCAAGTTTGGCGATGGGGCCAGGTTTGCACCTGTAGCTTCGCCAGGTTCGGCTCTCCAAGAGCTCTCTTGCTGAGCAGTTTGGATAGAGGCAATGTCCTTGGCAGTTTGGTCCACCAGCATCAGCAACCGAATGAACAATGGCTGGACATGCCAACCGAACGAACAATGGCCGTACATGCCTCGGGTTCAGAGACTAGCACAGAACAATTGGACAGAGAAAAGCTCCGACAAAGCTTTGCCCACAACCACCGGTAGCAGATAGCCTTTTTGCCGTTGCACCTACTGCAAAGACATCAATTTACCATCTAGTATAGGATTCGAAGTTAGTCAAGGTGTTGTACTGCAGATTCCTGCGTACGAACTGGTGCGGCTTGATGATGGCACGTGTTTCTTGTAGCTCCAAGCCAGGTGCTTTTCCAGGCAGTGCAGGATGGCAAACTAGGATGATGACAACGCATGAGTTTCTCCAAGTTTACGGCCCTAAGATCTAAGAAACTTTGCGGAGGCAAGTTTCTGAAAACTGGTGAGGCACTGAAAAGAGGGCCCGATGCTTCAGTTGTATTTAGCAGTTGAGATGCTCAATGACACAGTGAGAGCTCGATGACATGGTGAAATCTTGGCCGTTCGGGGTGTACTTCATCATGTGGGCTGTTGAGGTTTCTCTTCTTTGCATAGCCCATATGCACGGCAGACTCCCCCACAAAGAGAATCGTTTGGGTTTGTCCTATTAACCTGCAACAACAGTCAGCAAACAATGAAACCAGGACCCGCAAGGGGTGGTTTATTATGGACGCCTCTTAACATCTAAGGGGCTATCAATAGAAGCCCCTTAGGGTGTCCTGGTATATCACTATTTAGAGAATGGCCTTGACTAACCATCATCACCCTTTGTTATTCCAAAGAATCGCAAAGTTAGTCATTGAACTCGTTCACCACTGGCTATCCCAGTTGCAACTGTTGCATCACAAAGTGTCATCCCGAGGCATTGGTGGGGCGATACCACCAAAGATGATTGTCAAGCGGCCATCCGTATGGTCAAGCCCGGAGAGCATCAGGATCATGTGACTGTGAAAGATCGCAACCGCTGTTTCGTTGAGGAAATGTAATCCGTTTTTTAACTATCACTATGATCTGAAATGCAGTTGCAGTCATTAGAAACAGTTATACAGTTATACTAAAGAGAGATTCAGATATGAATTTCTTGGAATTGATCGCTGCAACGCCTGGCCCCCCGAACCACATGGCACTTTTGATCCGACAAAATCCATATTATGGATGAAACGCGTTCCAAAACGAGATCAACCCCCACGCGTTCCAAAACGAGGTGGTTCCCTCCCCTTTCTCCCCTAAATCTCCCTGCTTCCCGCTCGGTCCAGGAGTCCGTCACCTATGTGAATCGCGTGCTCGCCTTCATGTTTGCCACGGACGACTGCTTCGAGAAGCTCATGCAATTGCCCAAGGAACCGGTGGGCTGGAACGGCTCGCAGCCGGCCGTTTTCGGATCTGGGTTCAAGGCCAAAAGGAGTTGTATTCGTTCTTTATTTTGGGGTAAGTTCACCAAAGGGAGACCGGCAAACACACACACACACATATAATTACATATATATATGTACATTTAGAGAGAGACAGAGGGAGCGGGGTAGATATATATATATATAATTTGGGTGTGTCCCATTCCCTGTGTCGGCAAACAAGTATCACTATTTTAGGTTGTTGCTGCTCTCCTTTCTTCTTCTTCTATTTTCCACCATTCCATCACGGCCAGGAACCCTTCAAGATGAGCTGTGGGGATCAACTTTGCGTGCAGTTGGGGCACATTGCTCTGCAAACCTGCTGAGTTTTGGGCAAAATGTGCCTTGAACAGGGCTGGCTAGGGCTTCTTGAGCTTGCAGAGGGGTTGCCATAGAGAGAGAAAGCAGGGCTTCTCCCATCCCCACTCTTGTAGTCAATAGGCGTGATCATCATCATCATCATCATCATCATCATCATCATCATCATCATCAT